AAATTTGTTTCTAAAAGATCTATTTTTTAAATTTCCAATGAATGTTTTATTAACTAATTGTAAACTTCAAAAACTTAATTGCACTAACTGATTTTTTATTGGTTTAAAATATAGAAATAAGATAAATACAAAAAATATGCAAATTTATTGTGTTTTATTAAAAAGTGTAAAAACCTAAAATATAGATCTTTTAGGAATAGGGAGTATAAGATAGCTATACCAAATGTAATTTTAACCACATTTTCTATATGTAAGACATCCGGGCTCGACTCTTATCCATGATCAAAAGGGTGTGGGTTAGCGCAAATTTGTTTTTGCATAAATAGTAAAAAAAAATGGTCCAATTATTTTTTAAACTCAATTTTAAGGAAAAAATGCCTAATTTTTATAGTAAAATATAGTAGAAAAAGGATCCAATTTTTATAAAAATACATATGAAAATGCTCTACATTTTTTTAAAAATAGTATAAGTATATGTAAAAATTTGCCATGAGCCCAAAATATTTTTGAGCCGGATCTGGAGATATCTATTATAGCGCATGATCTATCATTAAATAACGCATGAAAAACACCAATCCCATAAATCAATTGGATCCGTTAGATGGGTATCAACGTTTAAAACCTCATGTTTAAACTGCCATGATAATCATCACATTCACACCATGAAACTACAAAAGCGGCGATTTTGTCGATTACCGTGGTTGCAATTCCTATAGAAACAAGTCACGTGATGTGTTTTAACTTTTATTGCACTTATTAAGGGGGTTTGCATTAAACACACAACATACAGATGTATTACGTATCATATTAAAAGAGATGTTTAGTAACACACAACATACAGATGTATCACGTATCATATCAAAAGATGTGTTAAGTAACACACAACATACAGATGTATTACGTATCATATCAAAAGAGATGTGTTAAGTATGTATAAGAAAGCTTGTTTTATGTATATGGTTTGGTATTATCTAACTCTGACTGTATACATTGCTAAGAAATTAATCTCAGTAGCGAGTTAATTAGCCTAGTGTAATTATTGCGCTTTCTATATTGTTAATTATATCTCTCATTGATCGTAATATTTACATACATTACTTCTACATAAAATAACATCATTGCTGCTCTATAGTTTATCTCATAACTTACAAAATATAAGTGCATCTCATCAAATGATATTAAGCTTTTCTTCCTGCGACCAATGAGCGATAATATTTCAATTTTAAAATCTTATATACAAAATTTTAAGCATTTTAAAGAAGTGGATCTGAAACTAGGTTTTAGATAATAATTAAGTTCTGTGATATAATATCAAAGCTGTACGATCGTAGTAAGCTAAACATAAAATAAAGTGAGTAAAAAAAAATCAGCAAAAAGCATGTAAATTACACCAATTTTTATTTGCAAATATATTTTTTAAACTAGATTAGAGATCATCAATATGCTAAAATGAGACGGTTGAGTTTAAAACAACACCATAATAAAAAGGTTGAAGAACTTTCGGTAGGTCGAGCACTGAAGGAAAAAATCGGGCCGACCACGGTATGGACCGGAAAAGCATGAGTAATGCCTTATTGTGTTAGTTTCATTGACTGGCGATAAAGAAAAACAACAAACAAGTTTAATGTTAATTCATCATGAGTCATGACGTTGAACATCATTTTCATGTTTGTCTATTTCTTCACAAGAAAACGAAGTTTTGAACGTTGAAGTGAGTCATTGATACAGCTTTTACAATATTTATGATTTGAATCAGCGCAATAGCACACAAAAAAAATCCAAAAGAAGTGGAACAAAATATTCATAAATTCACACATGACACGGACTAAAGTAGTAACCGGCTCAAGTATTACCAAAAACACATTAATGGACTAACATGAATTGTTGTTCAAAAAAAAAAGAAAAAAAAAAAGGACTAACATGAATAAGTGCTTCCACATTTAATAAATGATGATAACCGAAGGCCCATATCCATTAACAATCAGGTTTAGGCGGTCCATATAACTAACCAAAGGTAATCTAACCACTTTCTCAAAATTATATAGAACACGTGGAGCACGAGTAACGAAAAATACGTTAACGCCACCACACCATGTCGCGTACATAGCTGCCACATCACTGTTCATAACACGTGTCCCAATTTCATGAAACACAGACCCACAAAAAAACGGGTGCATTCTACTTTATCAGTGGTGCGACGTAGAAGATAACACTACCTTTCCAGTTTCAAAAGCTAATGATAATAATTTATCTCTAATTTAGGAAACAGTTGACAATTAGTCGAATCATGAAGGATTGTTTTGGAGTTTTATAGTAAGTGAGCGCACACGTAGAGATCGCCACGTCATCAGAAAAACCTGAAACGTGCAACCTCTCTCTTTCTCGCTCTCCGTTTCTCTCGGTTTCTGGATTCCCGGAAAGTTTCGTTATCGTTGAGTCTCCTTCGCCTTCTGGTCAACGATGAATATCTTTAGATTCGCCGGCGATATGACTCACTTGATCAGTATCTTAATCCTTCTTCTCAAAATCTACGCCACCAAATCCTGCGCTGGTAAGCTCTCTCTCCCTCTCTGAAAATGCGTTGTGTATATTTCGAAGAAGAGCTCTCTAGAAAACTATCTCTAGAAAACTATCTCCCTGTTTGTAATCGAAATGTAAATCTTATCTGAATCATATTATGATCTATTTCCATGCGAATCCAAGCTTCCTTAGTCTGCAGTATAGTGTTGAAATCCTCATCTTAGATTAGGTTTAATGGAAGAATGCGAAATAATGATTTACGGAGTGGAAAATGCTCATGACTTTGATTTTGTTGGTTAGGAATTTCTCTCAAGACTCAGGAGCTATACGCACTTGTGTTCTTGACTCGGTACTTGGATCTGTTCACGGATTACGTGTCTCTCTACAACAGCGTGATGAAGATCGTCTTCGTTGCTAGCTCTTTGGCTATCGTTTGGTGTATGCGTAGGCATCCACTTGTGCGGAGATCGTACGATAAGGACTTGGATACGTTTCGTCATCAGTACGTTGTGTTAGCATGTTTTGTGTTGGGGCTTCTTCTGCATGAGAGTTTCACATTCCAAGAGGTAGTGTCATATAAGTTTCTCAGGCTTGTGTGCTTTTAGTTTGTAGAGACGTGAAAAACAAATTATCTCTGTGAAGTATGTAGTATCAGGCATAGTTCAGTTGTTAAGTGGCATTGGAATGTTTTACCATACGGTAGTGTAGCATGGTCACATATGTTGGTGATGTTCATACTGATAAATTGTGTTCTTAACCACCATATGATGCATAGTGCCATTTCTTTCCATTTATACCATATTGCTTTTGTTATTTTCTTGGCTGTTGGTAGAATATATAGTCTTTTAGATAAACAAATTGATAAGAACTTTTTTTTTAGAACTGATTTGTCGTCTGTCTTTTATAGTTTTGTTTGAAACTGTCATAGTTGGTGCTAAAGCTTGTTTAAAATTTGTACTACATGTGCTACTTCTCTTATCTTGCTGCTAACTATGAGAAATTCCTTGAGTGACAAATTGATGCATCGTTAGAGATTTGCTTTCTTCCATCTTCTCTGTTATCCTTGCATGTGACAAAGTTTGCTTCCCATAAGGTGCACGCTGATTTATCTGATCAGCATCTCGCCATTACTTTTCTTGTCAAAATGTTTTTTGATTAACTTGTCAGACGAGACTATAGTATCTCTTTATCTGAAGTTCACCAATTTCATTTAGCCTTACCTCCATATATATTGGCCTATATGTTCCCCCTGGTAAAACTTTCATCTTTGCTACTACCTTCACTCTGAGTTGTATTCTGAAGTAGTATTGCAGCAATGTGGCTTGTGTGTGTGTGTTGATAGTCAGAATCGTTCTGCAATATGATAATCCTTTGAATTTGAAAGCGTTGCAGGTGTTCTGGGCCTTTTCTATATACTTAGAGGCAGTTGCTATTCTTCCCCAGTTGGTTCTGCTACAAAGAAGTGGGAATGTGGACAATTTGACTGGACAATATGTTCTCTTTCTTGGGTACGTAATTCTTTCTTGAGATATGTGTTTGCTTGCTTGATCTACTGACTTTAATGGGTTCAAATTTTGATACCCAATGTTGATATAGAATGAAAATACCTAGTTCAGCATAGCTGTATACTTGCTAAGTTGGTCAATGAGAAACATTCTTAAAATCAGTACTTGTATCTCCAAAGTCTATACAATCGTTTTCCTTTTAAGTTTGAGGCTGTGCTGAACTAGGTATTTTCTTTTATGTAAAGGAGAATAAACAGGTTTACCTTTACTATGCATCATGTTTTTTTCCCGTACGCAAAATCTGAGTGAGCAATGATTTTAATTTGCAGGGCGTATCGTGGATTATATATCATCAACTGGATCTATCGATATTTCACAGAAGATCATTTCACTAGATGGATCGGTAATCAGTGTCTCAACTCTCAACAAAGAATCATTGTTTTCCCCCTCATTGCTAGTGTTTGATATATTTGCAATTTTCTAGCTTGTGTATCCGGTCTTGTCCAAACTGCTCTCTATGCGGATTTCTTCTACTACTACTACTTGAGGTAAAGAAACCTCACCAGTCTGAAAATCCTCCAATCGTTTTATAGCCACTGATCATGCAACTGACTTTGATCCCTTTCTTCTCAATTTCAGCTGGAAAACCAACACCAAACTGAAGCTTCCGGCTTGAGCAGAACCAGTCGAAATTTTGTAAGAGTGACAAAGTTCAGGAATTTACAACGATAGAAAAACAAAAAGAGACATGGTTAGCATTTGGCTTCTCCCTTTGTTAAAAGTCTGACAAAGAGTTGATTAATGCAGAATTGTTGTTTCAGACGTGCTTTTAGCCTCTTACTGCACATTGTAACTTTTCCAAGTATGAATTGCACGTGGAAATTGAAATCAAAACTATTCATAAGTGTTGTTCAAAACTGTAGCACAGATTAGAATAGCAAATTACAACAAAAATGTATTTGAGAAAACTTAAAACTAGTCTTCTTGAGTATGTTTTACTTTCTTGGGTTTCTTCTTGTGATCCCGTGCCTTCTTGCTTCTTAGCTTGTCCATCTCTTCACCGTCAGAGACTTTATCTCTACTACGTTTCTCTTTCTTTGACTTCTTTTTCTTCACAGGAGCCTCCTCTGTTTCATCTTCATTCTCTTCCTCGTCACCTTCCTGCTCTATTGTCTCTTCTGTTTCAGCCTCAACCACTGTATTTGCGACAGCTATCTCTGCTTCGACCATAAGGAACTCCAATATATAACAATCATGCTAACATAGTAATACGGAAACATATCTAATAATGTCAACGGCCAAAAGAAAACTAACCTTCTCCACTGAAGCCTGAGTCGAAGACAAGACCTGTAAGATGCTGCTTCAAGAAAACCTGCAACAAAACAGTGTGATGAGTGATAATTTCTAATCATCACAAAACACATTACCCTAGATGTCAAAGAGCGTACCGCAGAGATAAGCTGGCGTGTGTTGACGTCATAAACACGCAAATACCGGTCTAACCCTGAACAATTCAGTAAAACAAAAACACAAATGAGACTGTCGAAACGCATATGGATTTTGAAGTTATGTGCAACACAAAGAATCTTTACCGCAAGAAGCTATCACTTGATGCTGTGGATGTCTAACAACAGATCTTATGCTTCCAGAACATTTTCCTAAAAAGTTTCCCAACAGCTTTCCTGCAACATATATGATTTGACTGATTACTTGTTTGATACAGAAACATTGTTTACGATACGTTGGTAGAGAGAATCAACGAACCTGTTCGTATATCAAAGGCAGCGAGGTCAGCAGAAGCATTCCCGACATAGACAGTATGACCATCTGGGTCTTCAGTGATTGCTGTAATAGCGGTCTCATGGAAATCAAAGGACAGGACTGGTCTACGTTGAGCAGAAACATCATAGAGACGAACCTGTCTCCATACAAAAAAACGTGAGTAACCTGTACAAAGCAATCACAATCTGTCAGGGAGGGCTTAACCTGGTGAGACTTGGTTCCTGTGACAAATTTACGGTGATCATCGTTGCTCATGAATGCAGCACAGGTGAACCAGGTTGGCGTGAAGATCCCAAGATTGTCTTTAGGAGGCTGCCCAAGCAAAGATTGGTTAGAAGAAACATTAACTGAAGGAAGGGGCTTTTGGTAGCAAAAGAAACTCACAGATTTTGCGCTCCAGATCTTAGTACATTGTTCAAGATCCCATATATTGACTTCAACACGTTTCCTGCATTACAAATCCATTCAGAAGGGTAACAACAAAACTGAGATATAACGAACTAAGTTCTTAACTACTTACCCTCCAAACAAGCCGAAGTTCTCGGTCCCGTCCACTTTCCCAAACAATAGTTCACCAGAACCACATGCTTTCCAAGTTTTAGGCGCAGCATCATCTGCAGAATCAGCAGGTGCGTCTGGAAACTGAACTGTTCTAAGGTTCACATCTCCCTTCTTCATGCATGTAAGCAACGTGCAGGATCTAAGTAACACCAAGTTTTGTTGAGAAACGTTTAATTGCTAACACAAAATTCATTGGTTAGAGAGGTTTAAGAAGCGGTTTCATACCTTTCTACGTGGTCCTCCTTTTGCTTTCTGAATAAGTGCAGGCCAGATATTTCATCATCTTCAGGTGAAGAACCATCATCACCAAATACAGAGTATGCAAAGTGAAGATCACCATTACAAGGGTTAAGAACCTCAACCTATAAAACGTACATAACTAGTTAGCTCGGCTATCCAGAGAAGAAACAAACTAAACATAGCTTTAAGAGTAACACTTACGTTGCCATCTTTTCTTGCCACAGCCAAAAGCTACAATTAAAAGAAGACAAAAAGTGATGAGCATTTCAAATAACATTAAAGCAGAGAGAGGGATTAAAAACTTTTTTGAAGTACCGGGTTGCTTGAACGGTCATCCATGGAAGCGGCGAGAACGCTTCTGGAAGCATTCATCTCACCCCATGTGTTGACTACAGTCGGAGTTCCTCTCTCTTTACCTCTAGCTTCAGTCACTGCAACATCGAATCTTTTTTTAAAAATAACTTCAATATAAAACAACCAAGAGCCTCAGCTGAAGAAAGAGGAGAGAAAGTGGGGGACCTTTGATTAAACCGAGAGAATCAAAGGTTAAAGCACGGATCGCAGGGCAACCGTAAGTCTCGTCGGAGATAACTCGAGGCATTTCTTCGCCGCCGTTATTTGCTTCCACAGAGACGCGCAACGGATGAGAAGACTAAACCTCTTTTAAACCCTACGATTCGCCTTTGGGGGATGGGATACCCAACATCATCTACCGGAGTCGGTTTTTTTGGGTTTAGTTAAACCGGGTCAAGTAGTCTGACCAATGTCTCTCTTATTTATTCAGAAGGTTTTTTTTTTTTTTATTCAGAAGGTTCATTACCACCAAAATGTTTTTAACAAGTCTCGTCAAGAATTTCTAGCCTTAACAAATTGTGAAAGAACAAAAGCAGTTTTCTCTCAAAATCTCATCACATTTCATTATTCGTTTTGTTTAGATTTTAAACTGTGTGGTCTATTTTGCGTTTCTACTATGGATCATGATTCACATACTAAAAGTCTAACAGTGTGTTAACATAACTAACGGAGGTAAATCTGTTGGTTAATAAAACGTATCTACCATTTTGATCGTCTATTAAGAGTGGACACATATATAAGAGTTTCTCAACAAAATTTACTCTTTTACAAGACTCGATTCATTCAGAAACCAAAGAAGCCAAGCTCGCTCGCTTTCTCCTTCTCAAAGGTCTCGAAATACTGATATATGATTGTCACAGCCAGTAAGATTCCAGTCCCTGACCCAATGGCTCCCATGAAATCTGCCAAAACAGTGAGTGCACCTATGCAAACTCCTCCAAAAGCGGCTGCCGTTGGGATATACCTATTCAGCTCTTTCTGCAAGTTAGATTCTCTGTGTCCCGGCATCACCATTTGTTGTTCCTAATCATTATATATATATATTTCAAACAAGTGAGTACAGGACAGTTTTAAAAACTATTTATCAATGGAGCTGGAGCTTAACAATACCTTGAGCTGCTTAGCTACATCTCTAGCAGAAGACCCGGAGACTTCAATCCACGTCTTTGAGAATAGGGCACAAGCGGTGAGCATGAATACAATATAGAACAGAGCATGGAATGGATGAGCTGCCATCTCAGCGAAGCTGTAACCATACAAAAGCAAATATTCAGAGAACTGGAAACTGCGTTATCTCTTTGTGTTGATGGGGACATACTAGTTGTGTACTTACCTTGCTGGAGCTGTGATTAAGTAAGCAAGGCCACTAACTGGTATAGACTGTCCACTGTACTCTGATTCTTTCCACTGTCCCAATAGGTTCACAAAGAAATTTCCACTGAACTTCCTGTAGAGTAGCTGTTTGACAAGGAGGAGATGCAACTCGTGTCAACTTTATGTTCTTAACTAAAGTCCTTTATGATGAAATAAAAGAAAGTACCTGAGAGATAAAGTAGAGGTTTGAGACGAGAGCAGACTGGAGAATGATTGGCATGTTGGAGGTGTAGAACAGCTTGATAGGGTAAGAACCCTGTTGGCCACGGGCACTCTTTGATCTCACGGGCAACACAACACGGAAACCTTGGAAGTAGATAACGATCAGGAAGATCAAGACTGTTGCAAGCAAGTTGGTAACATTCGGAAGGTTTTGCCTGTAGAAAGCTTGTCTGAGCGCAGCAACCTTATTGGATTTAGTTATCAACATATGGAACAGTGCGATCACAGCTCCTTCAAACTCAGCTCCACGACCAGTGTTGATTGTCGTAGGACTGAATGATTTCCAGATAATGCTTTCACTGTGTCACCACAACAGAAAAAGTTGAAAACTTTATGCATCTAAAAACAATCTCAAAGCTTTGAAAACATACCAGATATTGGTAGCTATGAAAAGAGAGATCCCAGAGCCAAGCCCATAACCCTTCTGAAGAAGCTCATCGAGGCAGATAACTATAATACCAGCAAAGAAAAGCTGGAGGATGATGAGAATAGAGTTGCCAACACCAAGCTGACCAACAGGACCGTACATTCCCGAAAGAACATAAGCAACAGCTTCACCAATAGCAATCAAAATCCCAAGAAGCTTCTGAGCACCATTCCTATACACACAAAAAAAAAAACCCACATGAGACAACAACTCAGAGCTGTCAAAAGTCATCACAAAACACACTTACAAGAGAGCACGATCCTCGCGGACATTGTTGTCAACCTCAATGATCTTGGAGCCAGCTAAGAGCTGCATAACGAGACCAGAGGTGACAATGGGAGTGATACCAAGCTCCATGACGGTACCACGGTTGGAAGCGAGAATGACACGCATCCAATACAAGGGATCAGCGCCAGTGGTGGCGTGGATTCCGTAGAGAGGGAGCTGGCTGCAGACGAGGAAGATGAAGAGGGAGATGACTGTGTAGATTACTTTCTCTCTGAATGGGATCTTCCTGTCTGCACTCTGCACCTCTGGGAGAAATGGCAAGAATGGCCTCACCAAATGCAATACCCTAAATCCTCCTCCCATTTTTATTGGGGTTTAGGTCAAAGTTATCTGCAATTCACATAGCCAAATCAATCAGCAAGAACACTAATAGCTACTTGTATATTGCAATTCCACGAAAATTTGAAAATAAAATTATAAAATACAAAATAACATTCGATTTTAGCCAATAAATCAGATCTACTAAAAAGTTTCATGAGAATCTCAGATCTATATTACCGAAATTTTGAAAAATCTTTGTCTACCGCATTCGAATTAGATCCGGACTAATCTAGATACAGATTCAAGAACATCGGAGACGATTTGGGATTATTATTAATCTATATACTTTGTGAAGATCTAGGAAGCTTTACCTCTGCGAGTTTGAGAGGGAGTGCTGCGAAGAAGAAGAAACGTGTCCCAAGATTTTTCCGGTCGAACCTATTTTAAAACAAGAAGATAATTACATGTCATCTAACCAATTATAATGGAACACGTGGCAGATACATTCATTTGGCCAAGCGATAACGACTTGATTAATAAAAAACTCTTATCATTAATAATAGTGTTAGTGGGTTAAGCTCAACCACTTGGGTTTGTGTAGATCAATTTGTTGCAATTGGGTCCATTGGTTGATTATTTTGATCGAGTCAAACTAATTATTCTATCTAAAAAAACTGTGTGTGGATTTGATTATTTCGTCAATGACCATTTTTATTGTTTTTGCTTTTGCTTCCCTCTGTTTTTGAATTCTATTTTGTATTCATGCTCTCTTCTCTTTCAAACATTTTTTAGTTTTCAACTTCTACCACCACTTGTAATTTGTGATTAAAATTGTATTCCAAACAAAGAAATACATTGATTTCTTTTGATATAAATATATCACTAGATTATTCTCTCCTGAATTTTTTTTATTTAACATCCCTCTCCTGAAACTTTATAAATATGACTAAAATCCCTTTTAATCTTTATATTTGTTGTACTCACCAACTTGACCCGACAAAAATTCAGTATCGTTGTAAATGATGTTTACTCATACTATTTACACATCAATGCACACATACAATCAAGTGATTAACTACTCAAACCACATACGTTTTCATTTTACTATATTTTTTGTTATCTTGAATTTTATTAAAAAAATATAAGATACATGAAAATGTCCGAAAACAGAAAAGAAACTATATATTAAGACCCCATAAATATCCAAAAACAAAAGAGTTTAAAGGCAATCAAACAGTGATTCAGCTGCTTAACCACATGTTGATGCTGAACGAGAGAACGACACATGCATAGCCAAAACGATACATCTACACTGACAAGAAATACGTCATCAGAAAGACCTAACGCCGCTCCACCAGAACACACCAGAACATGTAGTTTAAATATGTATACTAATGGAACATAGGTGTATTTGTTAATTGATATTTTTTTATATTTTGATGTTAAAATTGCAGTAAAACATGGTTTTAGTGCAATTTTATTGCTATTTATGTATTTTGTTTATATATTATATGTTTACATTTTCTATTGTAAATTTTGTTATTTAAATATATAATATATTTTTTATTTGAATTTTTTTACCATTCAAAACTGTGATAAACTATATGTTTAGTTTGATATGTATTCCTCCCTCATAATTTCCTTGATCTATACTTATTCCATTTGATATTCATGACATGTTTGATCTGCAACTTTTAAATTGTTTTTGTCTTTCCAAAATTAAAACTGCATTTGAGTAGGAGAGTGAAACATATATGTGTGAGTTAAGACAGCCGATCTAGTGAGATAGATTGACCGATAAGAGAGTCTGATAACACATGCATATGATCTTATAATCTAGTTCATTTTATGTAAAATATATGTATACAAGTTCGTTCCACGTGAATTAGTGATGATAAAGAAATATAATAAATGAAAAAGTACAATGAAATTAAGGATCAGTTCAAGTTTCACCTAAGATAAATTAGTTGATGTAGTTAGCTATTTGATCTAAGAGAAATCACCTCATGACTATAGATATTAAGATGAATTTGATACCTATGGGTCTTAACGGACTTGATGTAAAATATTGAATCTGTTGAAATAAATGAACCTATACAAGGTTAGCCATTTGATACCATTTAGTTGACCGGCCATCTACAAAATAAACGGTATTCTTTTATTTTTCGTTGTAAATGAAATAAAATAATGGCGTTTTCTTTATTTTTTTTTGTTGATGTGTCTTCTCTTCTCAATATTTGTTCCGAAACAAACAAAATGAGGGTACTTCTACGACAAAACGATTTAACTTATATTTTGACATCATATAATTTTGATAGTATTTTAATTAATTTATCACTACTAAAGTAAATTCAGTGTAATTTATTGAATATATTTTGGTAAAATCTTTTGTTAATTCATAAACTTTTTAATATTGCAACTAATCCCTTATATACTAAATCACAAGTCAGTTTACCAATCAAATTTTAACACATCATAAATATTTACAAAATTAAAAAATCAATTGAAAAGATAATTAATAGTTAAAAGAAACAAAAACATAACCATCTAACGGTTTGTACATATTCCCACAAACCCACGTTCTTTCTTTTGTCAATGTATATTTATGAGATCTAGAAGCAAACACCTGAAAAATTCTCAGTCGATCAAAGCAGAATAAAAAGACCACTTGAGTTTAGATCCTAGGTAAACCATGCCAGTTTAGCACTATATAGCTTCATAAGAACCACTTTAGAGTATGGTTGGAGTTTCTATCAGTACAAAGAGTATTGGAAAAGAAAAAGACAGAAAAAGATAGAAAGCAAACAAGATGGAATCAGAAGTAAGGCTCTGGATAAAAGGTACATACACTTCCACCATGTTTAATTTTTGCATTGGATTTGTCATATTATTTTTGTTTGTAGCTAGATGGAGAATGAATGAATTACAAGTGTAATAAGTATTATCATAAGTTGCAGATGATCAATTTATGAAAAGTTTTAAAAGAAAAGACATCAAGATGTTAAATAGAAAGTAAGCTTCAAAATAATATTTATATTCAACAAGATAAATAAGATCAAATCAATTTTTTTAAACCAAATCTATTTATCTTTATATGTTTATGGTTAATTAATTATATGTGTTAATATCTTTATGTATATGCATCTCTTGGTAAATCAAGGTTATATTATATACTGTCATGTTGAGTTATATATGATAAATTTGGCTTTGAAAAATTGGTTTTATTAATAAGCAAAATTATTCTCATGTTTTACCATAAAAAGAAAAACTATTCCCATGCATAGCATGGGATTAATACTAGTCTATATTATACTAGTTTACTCACTCCCAGCGCGCCAGGTCAGTTTTTTTCAATGGTTCCGCATGTTGTTTTTATTATAAATTTTATAAACGCTGTCTTTTAACAACTAAAGACGATTTGGCTAAGTGGCATTAGCCGGGTAGGGGTCCGATTCCGCGAGTATAGAGTTCGAATCCCCTAGATTTTTTTTGATGGGCTTTTATATACAATCCCGGAGTTTACTCACTCTATCCACCTCAGAAAAATTATGGGACCCACAAAATTAATTTTCTCTAATTTTTTAAACCACAAAATTAGTATTCTCTATTTTTTTAATCACTCGGCCAGAAAGTTCGAACTTCCTCCTCTCCATCTCCCATCGGTCCAGTTCCGGCGTCATAGCAGATTAAGCCTCTCCTCGCATCGAGCGCCACCTGTGTGATTCTCCGATCCTTCCCCGTTCTGGAAGGAGTTCACTCTCTGGCCTTCTCATTTATCATTCCCATAGATCTGTCTTCTTCCGCTCTCTTTTATGGCTGAGTCTCCAATCTGGCTTTGTAACTGAGCCTGGGAGCTTAAACCCTGACTCGGATCTATCCTTCAATAGCTGAGTCGAGATCGACATTTTGACACCGTTTGAGTCAGTCAGAGAGGCGAACGGGTTCGACGGTTTCGGTTTCTGGAGACCTTCTCACAATTATAAATCCCTAGGAGTCTCTCAGGTTTCTCTTTTAATTAAGCTTTTGTACTAAAGGTTAGGGCTTTTTCCTAATGTTAATAGCCTTGCTTGGCAATGCTCTTGTCTGAACACGGAAAGAAGATATCCTACACAAACTATATAATTCTCTTTAACTGATTTACTTTAACTGATGTTTGATGATATATAGTTCATGTCTTAAAACACATGATGATAAAGATAATACTTGATTTATCTTTCATGTTTAGCAATAATGATGATGAGTATCACATTCTGTAATAGTAAGATTCAAGGTTTCGGATTTTGGTGGTAGGAAAATGTGGAAGGTGATATCATTAGACTCAAGGATCAGGCTGCTGAGCTACAAAACTTTCTGATCTTGAAAGAACGAGAGACGCTTGAGGTGGTTAAGAAGCTTGACGCGACTAAAGCCACAATTAAAGAGCTTATCAATAAGCAGCAGAAGAAGAATGATGAGGAGGAGACGTTGATAGAAGAAGTTGACGGTTGTATCAAGCCAGCGGGTGTTGTACCAAAAGATATAAGCAAGGCAAATATGAACATGTGCAAGAAAACTGTAGATCTTGCGGGTAAACGTGGGTCTGTTGAGGTCTTGAATAGCCAGCTGCAAGCAGAAAATACTGCACTTGAGAAGACCTGCGAGAGACTTACGCAAAAAGAGAGACTATGGTTTGCTAAGAATGGTGTAACCAGCGAAAAAGGTGTGTTGAACTCCGAATATAATACTTTGCATACATACTACTTAATAACATCATCTAACACACTGATAAGTATCAAAGGGCTTATATTCGAAAGAAGAAGAGTGGAGGGAACGGGAAGACTCTAAACGAAGTGGAGGGTTCGAAGTAAATGAAGTTTTAAACGCACGAGCAAACACTTGGTGTGAGACAGAGGGTTTGCCGTTATAGCCGTTAGAGTCTTTAAATACATTTGTTGATTCAGTTTGTGAGTTTTCATGCTTGATTGTTGTATGACCTTAGACGTGATGAGTCTGAGCTCAAGATCGTGATGAGATCTTGAGATTGAGCATTTAGATTTGTAATTGAGAGATACAATTCAAATCTGTACTTCTTTGATTCGTTCAATACAATCGTTGAAGAGTTTTACAAGTTTGAGATATCGAAAACCTATCATTGGTGCGGTGAAAAGTTCGAATCAATGCGAAGACGATGTCGACGTGCGGTTCTCTGGTGCAATCGCGAGGGTCCGGCGTGAGTGAGGATCGCGAAAGAAGACAAAAGGGAAATTGGAGTTTCTCATGGGAGCTTATACGCAGTTGAAGGATGCTAACGATGTGACTAATGAATCACTGAGTTCGTTGAAGCAAGACGTTTCGCAACTAATGGTGTCTATTAACGCGTTGGCGAAGGCGATCGGAAAACAACCGATTCAGCAACCGTTGGATCAATCGGAGTCGCCTCAGTCATTTCCGCAGGTACGATCTGATAGCTGGGAACATAATCGGGATCTTGAGCTAGGTTGTCGATCTAATGATTTGAATCTAGCGAATAGAGATAGTAAGTTGCGGAAAGTTGAGATGCCTTTGTTAGACGGTTCGCGTACGTATGAGTGGTTGGTGGATGTTGAACATTTTTTCACGATTGGGAGGTATAATGATGCGGCGAAGATGGATTTACTTCCGTTGTGTGTACAAGGACCTATGAAAAAGTGGTTTGGTTGGGTGATTAAGAGAGATGGTTTCAAAGACTGTAATGACTTTAAGGAAAGGCTAGTTTTACGCTTTAATGAGTCCATTGATGATGAGCCGGAGACTAGATTGTTTGCTTTGCGTCAGACTAGTACTGTGGCGGCTTATATTTCAGAGTTTGAAGACCTTTCTTCTCAGGTGACTAATTTAGAAGATCATCATTTGGAGCGAATATTTTATAATGGATTATCACCAGAGATGAAGGAAGTGATTAGGATGAAGGATCCAAAAGGTCTTCAGAACTATATTGCTGCAGTGTTACGGATGGAGTCTAGTGTTTTTTGTAAAGTGGTGGGAGGAGCCTCTGCTACAACATCTACCAATTAAAAAAAATGGCCTAAGCAGAGTGAATCTCAACAATACAAAGCACCTGAAACTAATGATAAACAAAAAGGCGTGTTAGTGGAAGGGAAGCAGAGAGAGACTATTTCAGGGTTTAAGGGCTCAGTGAGACCTAGACAGAAGTACTCTGATGCGGAACTTGACAATATGAGACGTGAAGGTGTTTGCTTCAAATGTGGAGCTAAGTGGTCTAGAGCTCATGCTGCGGTTTGTGCAAACAGAGAAATAAGAATCATGGCAGTGATGAATGGATTAGATTTGGAGGTTGTGGATGATCCTGAGGAAGAGATATTGTGGACATGCAGTGTGAGTAAGCCTGAATTGAAGACGCTATCGTACAATGATTTTATGGGGATTAGTTCTCCGAAGACAACAAATCTACTTGGTACGATAGGCAACTGTGAGATGATATTCTTGCTCGATTCTGGAGCATCTTATAACTTCATTTCCCCTGAAATTGTGAATAGGCTGCATTTGAAAGTTTATGCTGATAGCAGCCTAGATGTATTATTGGGTAATGGAGTTATTGTCAAGGGTTTGGGCGTTTGTCGTTCAGTCTCTTTTCAACTGAACTCTACTAAGCCTAGATGTATTATTGGGTAATGGAGTTATTGTCAAGGGTTTGGGCGTTTGTCGTTCAGTCTCTTTTCAACTCAACTCTACTACCTTTATTACAGACTTCATCTCACTTGAGTTGGGATCAGTGGACGTTGTATTGGGCATACAGTGGTTTGAAACTCTTGGCAAATGTGAGGTGGACTGGAAGGAACATGAGCTCTCATTTGTCTACGAAGGAAAACGAGTTACCTTGTGGGGGGGACCATAATTTACATGGTGCTCTTTCCGTATTCAAGTCACCACCACCCTTCTTTACTCCTAGCTACGAAGGAAGAGAAGTGCTTTGTGCTAGTAGTGAGGCCTCGTCTGTTGTACCAGATATTCATGTTGCTGTGTCTCGTGTGCTTGAGGAGTTTGCTGTGATCTTCGATCTTCCTAGGCAGCTACCTTCTTTCCGTGGCATTGAGCACTCAATAGAGTTACTTCATGGGGTTTCAACGGTGTCTGTTAGACCGTAGAGATACCCTCACACAACGAAGCTAGTCATGGAAAAAATGGTTAATGAGATGCTTGAAGCGGGCATCATCCGTCCAAGTAATAGTCCATTTTCAAGTCCAGTCCTTCTGGTCAAGAAAAAAGATGGTAGCTTCCGTTTTTGTGTGGATTACAGAGCATTGAACAAAGTCACTGTGCCTAACAAGTTTCCTATTCCGGTAATTGATCAATTGCTTGATGAGCTACATGGTGCGGTGGTGTTTTCGAAGCTGGATTTGAGGTCGGGATACCATCAAATTCGAATGGAGGAGAAGGATATCTAGAAGACATCATTTCGAACTATAGAAGAGCACTATGAATTTTTGGTGATGCCCTTCGGATTGACTAATGCACCTGCAACATTTCAAGCCTTGATGAACCGCTTGTTCAAACCGTTCTTGAGAAAGTTCGTCTTGGTTTTCTTTGATGATATCTTGGTGTTTAGTCGTTCCTTGGAGTTACATGTGGAGCATTTGAAGGCAGTTTTGAAGGTGTTTCAAGAAAACTCTTTGTTGGCTAATCGAAAAAGTGTGTGTTTGGTATGAAACAAGTGGAATACTTAGGTCATATCATCTCTGGGATGGGTGTAGCAACTGAGTCAACAAAAACAGAGGCAATGAAAGTATGGTCGGTTCCTAAGACGGTTAAACAACTTCGTGGGTTCCTTGGCCTTACTGGTTATTACAGGAGGTTTGTACGTGGATATGGAGTCTTGGCAAAGCCTTTGAAAACGTTGTTACAGAAAGATAAGTTTGAGTGCTCTAGTGAAGCTCCAGTTATGGCCTTAACTTATTTTGACAAGAAGTTTATTGTGGAGTCAGATGCGTCTTGTTTTGGTCTTGGAGCTGTGTTGATGCAAGATAGGAATCCGATTGCTTTCTTTAGTCATGCGTTGACTGATAGAGAACAACTCAAGCCGGCGTATGAGAGGGAGTTAATGGCTGTGGTTATGGCAGTTCAGAAGTGTAAACATTATTTGTTCGGACGTACATTCATTGTTCATACAGATCAGAGAAGCTTGAAGTATTTGTTGGAGCAAAAAGAGGTTAATATGGAGTATCAAAAGTGGCTTACTAAATTGTTGGGGTATGACTTTGAGATCTTTTACAAGCCGGGTTGTGAAAATAAGGCTGTTGATGGACTGTTAAGGTGTATGGAGAAGGCTGTGGGATCTTCAAGTGTGATGTTATTGGCTCTCAGAGTACCTATGGTGTTGCAGCTACAAGACTTGTACAAAGAAATTGATAATGATGAGGAGTTGCAGAAGCTTAAGTCACGCATCTTGGAGGGGTTGTTGGCTAACTCTAACTATCAGATTTTGGATGTGAGAGTGTGGTATAAACGACGTTTGATGATACCAAAGACATCGCAGTTTATCACCATTATTCTTAAAGAGTTTCATGATAGTAAGATCGGTGGGCATTCAGGGGTTTTGAAGACGGTTAAGAGGATTCAGCAACAGTTTTATTGGGAAGGCATGTTAAAAACGGTGCAAGGTTATGTGTCTAAATGTGCGGTGTGTCAAACTCACAAGTATTCTACTTTGTCGCCTGCTGGTTTGCTACAACCACTGCCTATTCCAGAGAAGATTTAGGAAGACATTTCATTGGATTTTGTTGAAAGGTTTGCCAACGTCTCAAGGGTTTAATGTGATATTGGTTGTGGTTGATAGGTTAAGCAAATATGATCACTTCATTGGCTTGAAACATCCATTCTCAACAATGGATGTGGCACTAAATTTGTGTCAGAGGTTGTGCGTTTGCATGGTTATCCAAGGAGCATTGTGTCTGATCGAGATCGCATCTTTCTGAGTGCATTTTGGACTGATACTTTTAAGCTTGCAGGAACGAAATTGAAGTTTAGTACAGCCTTTCATCCTCAGACTGATGGTCAAACGGAGGTGCTGAATCGGTGTTTGGAGACTTACTTGAGGTGCTTTGCTTCTTCACATCCGAGAATTGGCACAAGTTTTTGGCTTGGACTGAGTTGTGGTATAATACTTCATTTCATACCTCACTCAAAGCATCTCATTTCTCTGTGGTTTATGGACGTGAACCGCCAACGTTGGTTTGGTTTGAGGAAGGTTCCACTAAGAACTTTGAGTTGGAGTCGGCATTGAGGGAAAGAGATGCTATGTTGGAGCAGATATGTTTGAATCTGTTGAGAGCTCAGGAGTTAATGAAGAAGAATGCTGATGTTCACAGGCGGGATGTTGAATTCAAAGTTGGTGATTCGGTTTTTCTCAAGCTCAAACCGTATCGCCAACAATCAGTAGCGAGACGTGTGTGTCAGAAGCTTACTGCAAAGTTTTTTGGTCCGTTTACTGTGCTGGCAAGGATTGGCTCAGCGGCTTATCGGTTGCAGTTACCAAATTCGTCTAAGATACATCCAGTGTTTCACGTGTCTCAATTGAAGTTGGCTTTGGGAGATTGTGCTGTCCTGAATCCTTTGCCATTGGAGTTGTTGGAGGAGAGAGATCAGCTGATCGTTCCAGAAGATGTGGTAGCCAAACGTTATGATGTTGAAGGTCGTTTGGAGTTGTTGGTGCAGTGGAAGAACTGTCCTGCGCATGAGAATTCGTGGTTGCTTTATGAAGAATTTGTGCAGCAGTTCCCTTTCTTCAAGCTTGAGGACAAGCTGGATTTTAAAGGGGGGAGTATTGATAAGTATCAAAGGGCTTATATTCGAAAGAAGAAGAGTGGAGAGAACGGGAAGACTCTAAACGAAGTGGAGGGTTCGAAGTAAATGAAGTTTTAAACGCGCGAGCAAACACTTGGCGTGAGACAGAGGGTTTGCCGTTATAGCCGTTAGAGTCTTTAAATACATTTGTTGATTCAGTTTGTGAGTTTTCATGCTTGATTGTTGTATGACCTTAGACGTGATGAGTCTGAGCTCAAAATCGTGATGAGATATTGAGATTGAGCATTTAGATTTGTAATTGAGAGATACAATTCAAATCTGTACTTCTTTCATTCGTTCAATACAATCGTTGAAGAGTTTTACAAGTTTGAGATATCGAAAACCTATCACACACACTCGGCATTCTCCATGTAACATGTAACTGAACTCCACACTGGCCACCAAATTCTATTTTCACACCACTATTCATAAAGTGTTCACGAGCAGGTCAGTCGCAAGTCTCACACAAAATCAGATAACCAACCATTTACCCTCAATTTTCTTATACAAGCTTACATGTTCCCTTCTGCGCTCCCCTAATGTCTTTACTAGAGTTCATATTAATATATGTGTTTGCTAATCTATGTTAAACATATATTTTACACGCAGCTTGGGAGTTGCAACAACATAGGTTTTCCAACAGGTTGAGACCATGAGAGGGATTAATAAGAAAGAAATTTTGTCAACTGGAGACCTTCACACGTATCTCTCAACTCAGATGACAATGTTACCGTAACTATTTCTTCCTAATTTGTGAATACTATATGACTTAAAAGAATGCCTAACCAGTAATAACTTTTATCTCTCTATAAAGACTCGGAAAGCTGTGATTTCTGTATAAAGCTCAGATCTTCGGTGTCCTCCAGCAAAATGGATGGCTTCTCTTGCACCGGTCACAGTGGAAGGTAGGAAGAATCTGGACTTTACTCTGATGCAATATATGTGTTTCATCAAACATAATAGCAGTATCAAAATTCTATTCTGAATTTGGTGTCCCAATCATGCTGCCGTATCACTATTTTACACTATACGTCTCTGCCTTTAAGCCATGACTAAACAGAAACTCTCGCCATCATAGGTAACATGTATCTGAACTCCACAGTCCACACCGGGCGACCCAATTGTACTTTTGACCAGTCTATTGCTGCTATCGAAGCTTTTAGCCCTAGGTTTGTATCATGTCTAACGTTAAAATACCTGAACAACAAGTATAGGCATAGTGCTTTGGGAGCATCAAGGGGGATTACGTGTTTACATGATCATTTCGACCACAGTATCATTCATTCACTTGGACGTGAAAGCTGCGAACATATTGTTAGATGAACAAGTTGATGCTGTGGTTAGAAATTTTGGGCTTGCAAAGCTAATGAATTATAACTACTCTTATGTGATAATTAATGTATGCGGTATAATTGGCCATAGTGCCCCTGAGTACTTTTTGACAGGGAAATCTTATGTAAAAACTGATGTTTTTAGCCTTTTACCTTTGTGGTGATTCGAGTTTTGAGCATTATTAATAAAGTTTTAAAAAACTCACACTTTATTAATGAAATTGCATGGAGAAACAAAACAATTTTCTACCGACAGCTAGAAACAAGAAAGACATCAGCGGTGGTCTACGGCTTTATCGGAAACATGCATAAGCTTTAAGTTCTCATTGTGCAGCCTCCTAAACTAAGCTCCTGATTATACCACGAACTAAGCTCACAAAATAACGCAACATAAAATTTTAACTCAGATATCCAGCTAAAACAAAACACAATTCACATCTACAAACAAGATTTAATAACATCCTCATTGTCATCTAATTCTGGAAACTAAATGAAAATATAATACAAAAAGAATTGTGAAACTGCAATCTTTTTCAATATTGTGCCAGAAATTTAAAACCCATCAATATTGTGTACACATTGAGATAGAACAACATTGAGATAGAGCAACGATTACGGCGACCACCCCACGCTACGCTTGGGCGGGGATTCAGCCCCTAGTCTTATATAATAACAGAGTTTTTCTTTTCTTTAGAGCAAAAGTTGACACATTTCATACTCTCATTTGTTGATATTTGTCAAAATTCAACTAGTCAACTTTTTGTAAAGACTTTATGATATATGTTTTCAGTTATCATAAAGTCTTTCTATTCCGTTCGTAATCTTAGGATTATGTATTTGAGAACTTATATAAGCCTTAAAGACTTAGTTCATAGGCTCTGTCTTAAGTCATTGGTGAGTTTTCCCAACCAACAAGTCGAAAACCAAAGTCAATGTTTGGTTGTTTTCCATTTAACAAGCTAAACATCGACATATAGTCATTGTCTTAATACTTTGTCTAGCTTGTGGTGAAGTAAGGAGTCTGTTTTTATTCATATTAACTCTTTTCAGCCTTTGGTCATTCTCTGTCCAGCGAGTTTTAAGCCTTGTGGTTATTGTAAATATTTGAATTTTTTGGTTCATAGTCTCTGTTTTAAGCCGTTTGGTCGTGTTTACCGTACAACAACTTAAACAAACATAAGTCTTTTTGTAAGACTTTTCTAAGCACGTGTAGGAGTGTTCTCCAGATTCAGTCTTTGTCTGAAGACTCTTCATAAAGTCACAGGTAGTAGCATTTTCCAGGTTGAGTCTTTGTCTAAAAACCCTTTATAAAGCCGTGGGTACTAGTATTGTCAAGATTCAGTCTTTGTTGAAAGACTTTTCATAAAGCCATGGGTGGGTAGAATAGTCAGGATTCAGTCTTTTTCTAAAGACATTTCATAAAGCCGTGGGTAGTAAAGCAATGAATCCGTCTTTAATTCACAGTCTCTGTCTAAAGAATTTTCATAAGCCGTGGGTAGATATTGTCTTAACTCTGAAGCCTCTTCATAACCCGTTTTCACATAACTCTTTGTCTTAAGACTAATCATAAGCCCTGTGTAGTAAGCAACTCAAAGTCTTTTGTGTAGAATCTTTTCATAAGCCGTGGGTGGATATTGTCTACAGACTCTTCATCAGACGTTTTCAAGATAGACTTTTCATAAGCCGTGTGTAGCAAGAAACTCAAAGTCTTTGTCTAAATTTTCTATTTCATAAACCATTTCCAGCTCTTGCTCTTTGTTTAAAGACTTTATAAACCGTGAGGGTAACTCAAAGTCTTTGTCTAAATACTTTGCGGTGTACCGTTTGTCTTGTCGTTTTATCCATCCAATATACACATTCATTGTCTTTGGCTGTTGACTTCCTTATAAGCTGTGTTTGTTGTTTTATTCGTACAAGCATTCATAGTCTTTGTTTGTCTAAAGACGTTCATGGGTCGTTTGATCCATCCAAAGTTTCAGTCTTTCGTCTAAAAACTTTATTGCAAGCCGGGTTACAATCACAGTCTTTGTCTAAAGACTTTTTCTTAGGACGATTGTTGTTATTTTTGTAAGCCATGGGTTAGTAAAGTATCCATGCTTCCATCCTTTGCTTAGACATGCACCACCAAGCAATAGGTGTGACAATGTATCCAAAGGATCTTTGTCTATAGACTTTTCAAAGCTGTGTGTGTATCTATTTTTGATTCTCATAAAGACTTTTTATATTCAGTTCATAAGTCTTAGGTAATAGTATTGAGAACTTTTTCTAAGCCTCAGGTAGTAAACTAAGGAATCAAGACTTGGTTTGAGCTGTTAGTCATTTCCCAACTCAATTTCGGTTCATAATCCATGTTTTAATACTTAGTTTAAGCCGTTGGTCGTTTTTTCATCCAACAATGCCAAAAACCAACTCAATTTTTTGGCTCATACTCGCTGTCTTAAGACTGCCGTTGGTTGTTTTCCATCCAACAAACTGACATGTAGTCTGTGTCTAAATACTTTTGTCTAGGATTGTGGTGAAGTGAGGAGTCTGTTTTTGTTTCATATTAACTCTTGTTAGCCGTTGGTCGTTCTCTGAAGCCTTTTGGTTATTGTAAAGATTTGGATTTTGGTTCATAGTCTCTGTTTTAAGTCGTTGGTCATGTTCACCTTACAACAATTTGAGAACCATCGTCTTTGTGTAAGACTTTTCTAAGCCGGGGGTAGTTTTCTCCATCCAACAAGTAAACAGGTGGTCGTTTTTTTCCAACCACTGTTACTCGTTTTTCACATCCAATAAACTTAGAAGTTTAAAGGGTCTCATCTTTTGCTTAGACAAACATTCGTAGTCTTTGTATGTTTAGAGACTCTTTTTTTTCGGTAAGTCGTGGGTTGTTTGTACCCATCCAACGTTTCTTAGCCTCTGTCTAAAAGACTTTTTAGTAAGCCGTGGGTCATTTCATCCATACAACGTTTCATAGTCTTCTGTCTAAAAGACTTTTTGGTAAGCTGTGGGTTATTTGTATCCATCCAACGTTTCATAGCCTTTGTCTAAACTTTTATTGCAAGCCGTGGGTACAATCACAGTCTCTGACTTTTCTTAAGCCGTTTGTTGTTACAATCATAGTAAAGTATGTATGTCATACCTTACAACCTTTGCGTAGACATGCACTACCAACTAATAGTTGCGACAATGTCACCATACAACTCAACAACATAGTCTTTGTGTAAGACTTTTCTAAACTGAGGGTAGTTTTTTCCATCCAACTAGTAAACAAGTTTTCTTAAAACCTCTTTAAACCAGTTGTCAATTTTTTTCCATCCACCGTTAGTCGTTTTTCACATCCAATAAACTTGGAAGTTAAAGGGTTCATAGTTTTCGTATAGAAGACCTTTTATAAGCTGTTGGTTCCTTAAGACATTTACGGAGGTTTCAATATTTTTACATCCAACAAGTCCAAAACCAATTCATACGGTTTATCTATAAACTCTTCATAAGGTTTTCGTAACATTGGGTTGTCTAGATTCAGTCTTTCTCGAAAGACTTTGCATAAGCCGTTGGTAGTATTGTTGTCTGAAGACTCTTGATAATGCTTAACTCAAGAGTTCTTAAGACTTCAGACTTTTCATAAGTCGTATGTAGCAAGCAAGTCAAAGTCTTTCTCTAAAAACGTTTAATAAGCCGTGGGTTGATATTGTACCGTTAAAACTCATAGTCTTTATAAGCCATGGGTAACTCATAGTCTTTGTCTAAAGTCTTTATGGTGTACCGTTAGTTGTTTAATCCATCCAAGCATTCATAATCTTTGTGTGTCTAAAGACCTTTGCTTTGTAAGTCGTGGGTTGTTTGTCCATCCAACGTTTCCTAGTCTTTTTGCCTAAATACCTTTTGCAAGCCACGGGACATTGATCTATCCAAGGTATCATAGTCTTTTTCTAAAGAACTTATGGTGTACCGTTTGTTGTTTTATCCATCCAAACATTCATAGTCTTTGTGTGTATAAGTACTTTTTCTTTCTAAGTCGTGGGTCGTTTGATCCATCCAACATTTCCTTGTCTTTTCTGTCTTAAGACTTCTTTCAAACCACGAGATATTTGATCCGTCCAACGTTTCATAGTCTCTGTCTTTTTAGTAAGCCGTGGTCGTGTTTGATCCATCCAACGTCTCATAGCTTCTGTCTAAAAGACTTTTTAGTAAGCTGTGGTCGTGTTTGATCCATCCAACGTTTTACAGTCTCTGTCTAAAAGACCTTTTAGTAAGCCGTGTGTCATTTAGTTTCATAGCATTTTTCAAAAAAGTTATTGCAAGCCGTGGGTACAATGATAGTCTATGTCTAAAGACTTTTCTCGTACTTTCCATCCTTTGCTTAGACAAGCACTACCATACCAACCAATAGTTGTTGGGGCAATGGTTTTAAAGACTTTATAAGCCATGGGTAAATCAAAGCCTTTGTCTTGAGACTTTATAAGCCGTGGGTCTCTTTATCTTAAGACTTTTACCCCTGTTCGTTTCATCATCACGGCTTTCAGCGTCAGTGTCCACAAATTAAACCTTTTATCATGCAACATACAAGACCGGTAAAGCACCATTAACTTCTTTTCCAGTCGCTGCGGCAGCTGACCACAAACAAAACGGACGCGGAAAATTTCAGCGTCACTGGCGTCTGTTTTTTTACGTCTCCAACGATCATTCGGCGTCTGCAACAACTTTTGATACTGTAGTTTTTGCCTCTGTTTCTGCACTTTTTTTAACGCAGCCGCTGAAAGCAGCGAGGATGAAACGAACAGGGGTAAGCCAAGGATAACTTAAGTCTTTGTCTTAAAACTTTATAAGCATGGGTAACTCAAATCTTTGTCTAATGACTTTATAAGCCGTGGGTAACTAAAGTTTTTGTCTAATGACTTTATAAGCCGTGGGTAACTAAAGTTTTTGTCTTATGACTTTATAAGCCGTGGGTAACTAAAGTCTTTGTCTTATGACTTTATAAGCCATCCATCCAAGGTTTCATTTGATCCATCCAACATTTCCTTGTCTTTTTTTTTTGTCTTAAGACTTTTTTCAAACCACGAGATATTTGATCCGTCCAACGTTTCATAGGCTGTCTTTTTAGTAAGCCGTGGTCGTGTTGGATCCATCCAACGTTTCATAGTCTCTGTCTAAAAGACTTTTTAGTAAGCCGTGGCTC